CCGGGCGCGGGGGTCGCCCGCAGGGTGGGGGGGTCCAGAAGAGGATGAAGAGGGGATTCCTCAGGCGCGGGGTGTCCGGCCAAGCTCAGCTGAGCTGGACAAGTCAGGAATAAAGACGACAGGGGAAATATAGGGCAGATTAAGGGGAGCCTAAAGAGGATTATTTAAACAAATCAGGCTTTTTAATGTAATTATGCTTTTAGGATTTCGCCGGGAGAGCAGCTGAGCGGGGCGTGTGAGGGGAGGGTGTCCGGCCAAGCTCAGCTGAGCTGGACAAGTCAGGAATAAAGACGACAGGGGAAATATAGGGCAGATTAAGGGGAGCCTAAAGAGGATTATTTAAACAAATCAGGCTTTTTAATGTAATTATGCTTTTAGGATTTCGCCGGGAGAGCAGCTGAGCGGGGCGTGTGAGGGGACGGGCGCAGGTCTGTCCTCGCTGTCTCCATAAGTGACCTCGGTCCCCCGTGGGTGCCGGGGGCAGACGGCCCCGCGGGGGATGCTCTCGGGGCGGAGCAATAAAATGTCTCTGCAAATAGATATAACAGGCAAGATGGAGGATGGGATTTCTCAGCTGCAACGTGTGTTGTGACTTTTCAAGATGGCTCTGTAGCTTCTTGAAATCCTGGTCACTTCAGGGAACCTCAGTTCACTTTTAGGTGTTAATACAAAACCTTGGCTGTTCATGTAGGTGTCTAAGTGGGAAGCACTCCATTATTTTGAAAGTGCCCCCCCCCCATTTCCATATTGTAGTTAACTGACCGTTTCTCATAGTGGTGGTTATAGAATTTTCACACCTTGTAATTTTAGGATAGGGAGGTGTGGGGGCCGACACAGGCAGGACACAGGAACAACCACAAAACCATGGATGAAATGCAAAGAGTAAATTTAATCTCGATACCTCACAAACCGTGGGATCTCCGAAGCAGCACCCGGGCAGAGGCACGCAAGTGGGAACACAGGCACTGTGGAGCTCGGTCCTTGCTAGAGAGTGTTTTTGAACCTGCTGTTCTCGCCTGTATATCAGTGATTCAGGCAGGTGTAGTTTTCCACTATGCAGGGCAGGAATCTCAAGCATGTTCGATAGGGTGCCTCTGAGTCTATCACAGGCCTATGTTATCTAAGCACAGATGTTCTACTAGTCAAGCACACAAGACTAAACAGTGATTAGTGTCATATATGTGCTTTCTACACCTCAGCTGCAAGTCACCCCCCCCCCCGTCCCCAGGCGGGGGCGGCCCGGCGGCCTGCTGCTTTGCATATGCAAATAAGGGGCGGGGGAGGAGGGGAAGGCCACGCGTGGTGCCCCCCGTCGGTCCCCTCGGGCCGGGGCGCAGATCCCGCTGCCTCCTGTCACGGAGCTTGTTCCTTTGTGCTGCCTTTCAAGGAATAAAAGCAGACACGGTTGTGACACGTAGCCCGGCGGGTCAGAGGTCAGATTTCACAATCCCAATTACAATGATTTCTAATGATGTTTATCTTGCGGGCTCCGACGGCTGGGAGCTTTACACGAGGGCTCCGCTCCCCTCCCCTCTGCTTGGAGGGCCCTGGGTGCGGGGGGCCCTCGCCTCGGCACCGGCCGGGGGGAGATGCGCTGCCCCCGGGTACCGAGCCGGGGGGGACACGGGGGTCCGGCCCCGGCCCCGGGCTCCCTCCGCACCCCCCTTGTGGTGCGCGAGGCCACACCGGAATTAAGGGAGTGAATATCACAGTGGTTTACAGTGAATATTACCAAAGCACTGCACCTCTCCCTCCCCGTCGGGTAAGGTCCGAGGCGCTGCTATTTGTCCGGAGCTGATCGCGGCTGGAGGGTGGCGGGGGGGCTGTAGGGACAGGCCTTGCCCCGGCTACCCCCCCACCCCCGGGCCGCCCAGCCGCAACCGAAATCGCCGGCGGAGTCCCGGGGGATGAGGGAGGGAGGGAGCGGTCCCGGCGGGGAGCTCACTCCGCCGCGCCGCGCCC